AAAAAGCAGCACTATGCCTTGTGCTTAACAATGCCGTGATTAATTCTCATTTCCTAACCGGCTTTAGTGGCTTCGATAATCTTCCTAAAAGTCTTTAACTTCAAAAAATTGCTATCGAATAAATGCACCGAACACCAGCAAATTTCGAAGGCGTCTTAGAATCCAATTATCAGTGACTATTTCTTATTCAAAGCTGATTACACAGCTCAAGGGCAAAAATTGTGCCCTCCTTGATCCGCAGCTATCGGTTCTTTTACAGCAACAAGCGTGACACTACCTGTGCAAGAAAAGTAAGGATTATGAATCATTGTCTGCTTTATCATTGAAAAAAACTCATGTTGCAAAAGAAAAAAATGACAATTTTGATTTTCAATAAAATAAACGGAACGCTCTAGACCCTTTTTTTCATTTTAAAACAGGGCGCTTTGCTCGCAAAAATATACCAGCAAATGCTGCGCGTTAAAAGCAGACGGTTTTAGTCTCAATTTATAGTTATGCAAGCGGAACAGAAGCCTGCTATTTAGTGCAAGGATATCTCACGAGGGTCCATTTAGTCAACAACAAACTGTTCTGAAGTCGTCTTTCTAACCATCATTGATTGTCAATGAAAGAATTTATACACTATTTCTGCTTTTCGAAATGCGAGTTTCGAAGAATACATAATTGGAAAAAGAACGGCTCAAAATGTTTCAATTTGAATGGACTGTCATTACTTTTGGTTCTAACATAGTTCTTGAGAGTACGCGAGCTTGACAAGGTCTTTCTGCGATATAAACCCCGCAGGAATCTAGCGTTGCTAGATGCTTTAAATGTCTTTGGTACAAGCTTTTGAATTTCCAATGACTTTCAATCCTTCAAGGTGAAAAGTTACAAAACCATCTTTTTGATCTGAGCGCCACCTCCACATCAATTTGAGAAGCTATTAGGCATAAACTACCACCATTCACGATTAAACGATACATGCAATATGATGTCTGCGTAATTCTACCCTACATCGCAAAGAGCCTTTCCATGTTACTGCTCTGTTATGACACACCTGGAATTCCAAGAAAATGCTTTTCTTTGTGGAGTGGTTGAGGCTGTATGATATAAATCACGGTGATTAGCATGGAAAACTTTTCTCACCGGTGCATCCCCTAAGAATAAATGTCTCAGCCAGCACTTTTATTGATAACCAAACCTATGCATGTGAGTGCGGAAACACGGAGCAGCTCTTCTCATTCTTCTCGTCCGACTTACATAAGTAAAGTGAAACGAAAATAATTTTCTGTTGATTTTGAGTAGGGAAAACTAAGTGGTCAACATTCAAGTGCTCAAACAAAAAAATCTTTCCTTTCTGTTACTGCGAGTGAATTGATTTGTAAGGTCATGTCATAAACTACTCACATGCAGCTTGTCAAAGAAGTTGTGAATAACAAACATTTCGAGTTTTCCGAAGTAAAAAATAAGTGGCATTTTATTTCAAGGTTGTTAGACCAGTAGCACGCAGATATAAACCGGTAGAAACAACCAGAAAATTTTCATCTTTTCATCTTCTGCTTTGACCAGAGCCTAAATTTTTGACTTTACGTCTTTTCCAAAATGGCAACGCGGGAGGGATCCGAACCATTCTGCTGCCTATAGCGATGCGGAAATAGATTTTTTTTGTTTTTGTGACTTACGCAAAGCAAAAAATTTCGAACCTACTCCATCCGTTCCCTTAGAAGCGAGTCGAAATCATCGACCTAGACGCTGACGTTCTTCTGTCGTTTGAAGAGCGGCAAACGTGAAGAATTCGCGTCCTGGTTTGGCTAGGTAATTAAGGTTATGAAGGCTGAGGGAGCTAAATTTAAGTACATTCTGAGAGCTATTATCACCTAACGATTAGTCTGTTTTTCTATGGCACAAAAATCTACAACGAATATTCAGTCATGCAAACTTTGAAGGGAAAACAGTCTCTGAGTTCTTTAACCATATTTCTTTCCTGTCGAAGCCGCAGAAACCATTTATGAGATTACCTAACATATTCAAAAAAAGACATTTTCAGCACTATTTTCCCAGTAAAAGAAAGAGAAGTCATAAAATTGCACTACTTTTGGTACCTAGAACGTGATACAGTAAGTAAATTTCCTAGATGTGCCAAAAACACTGGCCCGTAGTAAACCCCTATCAGGATCTGTCTTGAGGCGGATCGGAGTTGATCTCATCGCGCTTCAACACATTGTTAGGGGAGCGATTGATTTGGACCAGATCACATACTGGACGTTCGCGTTTTCGAAGTTGCAATGTTTTGTGCATTATTAGTCAAATGGATAACGGGTTTCAAGCTGCAGAGCCGTGGTTCGAGTGCGGCTAGCGGCGCCATTTTTGCTACTTGGCCTGGCGACATTTGAAAGCGGCCCTTATCGAAAAATCGATAATAGCAGCTATTAGAGATTTTACCTAGCAAAAACGAGATAAAACAAATATACAATGAATTGGCACTCATACGAAGAAAAATTACACTTAGCGAATTACGAATAAAAAGATAAATTTATCTCTTTGTCATCTGAAGCGGTTTTTATGTAAGAAACGTGTATCATCTGTAAGAAAAAAGCAAAAAAAATACGTTTTTTTCGATTTCGTCGCAAAATCAGCTGTTCATCGATCCTCACTCACTTAGGCGTCCTATTTAGCACAGTATTTACCTTACGTCGTCGCCCTGCTCATCTCCGATGACTCGGTCGGGAGCTGATCTCCCTGCCGGGCTTCATCTGAAGCTCACCTGAAGGGTTACCTTGCATACCTACACTACGGAAAAGTGGGCAGTCCTCATCTCACCCGACAAAGCCTCATATGAGGGCCTTCGGGGAGATCATCTCCCGTGACCGAGCTTTACTACGGGCCACTGCCTTAAATAGCTCATGAAGTAAACTTCTTTTTTCACGTAACGCGTTTGCTATGCGCACACTCTAAATAACACAAAATCGTGTGTTTCTGGAAGTGAGCGAAGACAGAAACCTTTGATCTCTGCAATGGAGCGACGTTAGAGAATGTATTATTTTGTAGGCAAACCATGACGATTCGCAGACTAGCCACCCTAGCTTAAAAAAATTTGACTCCATGCAATCCAATTTCATTACCTAGGATAGCGCAAGAATTTTCTAGCATTTCTTGGTCATGATCCAAAATAAGCGCTATGGCGGTGATACTTGCCCTAATGTTTTTTCAGAAAGCTTCCATAGATAGTAATCGCGAAAACATCTCTTAGACTTTATTTCAGCCAATATTCAGTAGCGAGCAACATTTTTTTGTTTTCAAATAGCATAAACCATTGCATTTTTGATCGGGTCATTAACGAGAACTAAAATAAGCAAAGCAATTTTATGTAGATAGCTTTTGCATATCAACTCACCAACAAGGACTTTTGGTAAAAAGGCTTGATCAACAGTTATATGAACAAAGTCAACGTTGGTACTACTCGTGATGTGTTACTTTGGCAAGTTCTGACCATGCAGATATTCAATTTCTGTGAACAATTGAAGATAAAGCAATTCCGAAGACAATCACGGGTTTGACTGCAAACTTTCAACTAAATAATCTAATTGCGAGTTATCTGCGTTTCAAGCGTTTCTTTCTACTTGTAAGCAGATTTCTGAAAAAGTGCGTAGTTGCAATATGGCCAGATGTAACAGATTGAATTAGAGTAATTTTGAAAGGAAAACTGTGCGTGTAATTTGAGTGAATGTCAAAAAAAACTCCCATATAATGATTTCGTGCATATGCGCATATGCATAAAACCATTATGTGGAAGTCTTTTGACGCTTGTTCATGAAACATGCAAACTAATATTTTTAAAAATTACTTATCTCAAAATTACTTATCTTATCTTACAGAGTTCTATCAGGAATTGCATGCACGAAAATTTCTCCACCATTTCCTCCTTCATTAAACTATGCAATGGCTATGTGTGAGAATCTCTTTCCGAGAAAAGCGTTATAATATCAAGTGTTTTTTGCCTGAGTTCATCTTTGATTCTTCTCAAAACAGTTGTACTAGTTCCAACCTTCTCACAAGGGAAAGATTCTTGATCGAAATGGCGTTCTCATATACAATGTATGTTATCAAATAACATGGAACACTGATTTCAAATCTGCTTTCGTTACTTGCAAAGCTCTTTCGGGACAAGAATTATGGGACTTCTTTTAAGCAGAAATTTGGATCCAGGGCTACGATAAAATCATCCGGAACTGTAGCTTGTGGCTCAAATGGGGCTATGATTACTGCCAGGGTGCTCAATGTAATCATTAGCTTTAGTCCAATAATTTATGCCGTCATTACTTCCTTCAAGCATTGGTAAGACTCAACGCCTGTTTCTACCTCAGCCAAGCTCTTGAATTTTGTTTAAAAACATTCTCGTTATTCCCTTCCCAGAAAAGCTTTGCAGATAACAAAAGCAGATTTCGAATCAGCGTTCATGAGCTATAAGGCACTGTACATCTCATATGGAAACTCCACTTCGGCCAGTATGCTTCCCTTGTCAATAAAACACAATTGACATATCTTAATAGCTAAACTTGCGTTTTAAACAAACTCCTGTAGAGCTACTGCGATGAGCTCTATATGACAACCAGGCCACCACTATCGTTACTGCATACATATGTTACCTTAGCACTTTCTTTACACCTGAAAAATGGTGCGCATACGTACTATGCACAAAAGTTCTAAACGGGAGTCACGGCGTGCATGCGCGTGTAAGCACGCGGTCATCGACGTGTATTAGGCATAATGCTGACATTGGACAGGCTGGCGACGAAATCGCAAATATGTGTTTTTCAATCGGTATATCATTGTGCACTTTCATAAATCTACTAATTCTGAACATTTGACAGTAAGACAAAGAACAGAATTTTGTTAACATGATAAAATAAGTAAACCACTTTTTTCTCTAGATTGTTAAATTGTGAATATTGCTGATAATTTGAATAATATCGTTGTGTGGTGGAAACATTGAATAACTTGCATCATAATAACTTCATACTGGTGTTTTGCGCAAAAAGCTCAAAAGACGTGCATCTGTTCAATGAAGCTGTTCCTTCTTTTGTTGATCACCGGGACAACCCTCACAGACACATCGCAATTCGGCCATATGTGTTCCTTGTAGTTCTACGATTTTGCAGCGTCCGTTTTGGCAGTTCTGAACCCAAATTGATGATTCGAATAGATGAGTAAACAGGCAGTAAATATGCAGCATACACTATCCAAGCAGTGTGCTTTGCATGTACGAGGAGTATGGACGAAGCAAAGACTTAAATCGTTCTTGCTCGCCCCGACTGAGATTTCCAAAACGAATAACAGTAGCGAAAATGCAACAAAATGACGCATCATTTTCTAAAAAAGAAGTCTGACTATTCCGCAAATATCTTTGATATTGATATAGTGCAATATAATGAGAAAGATTCAAAACTTCACCTATTTTGCTTGCTATGTATTATGATAGCTCATTTCAACATGCAATACCGCTCGTAGGTCTCGGAGAAAACGACGCAGAGTCGCCCGATTTATGTGACATTCTCCATAGCGTGGCCACATCTCGCCTCAGAATGGAAAAATTCTTGCTCCAAGGAAACCATTCGACTCAACTCGGCGCGGCGCATCTTCTAAGATATAGAAGTATTAGCTTGAACATAGTAGGAGGCCAGATTTCACGATTCGTTCTAATTTTTTGCTCACGGTAGGTTGCCCAGTGATTGCAATCAACAAGCGCGCCGAGTGACCTACCGTAAGCAAAAATTTAAAACGATTCGTGGAATCTGACTTTCTATGGTCCAAGCGGACACTTCTATAAATTAGAAGATGCGCCGCGCCGAGCTGAGTCGAATGGTGCCCTTGGATCAAGAATTACACAATGAAGCGAGATATAGACATGCGACGGTGATGTCACATGAATCGGGCGGCTGTGCGTCATTTTTTCATAAAATATGGTATTGTATAATGCTTGCGTGTTAGGCCAGCTTCCCAAACACCAGTTTTTAGGCGCTAAGAATGTTCAGAATGCGTGGTCGTGCATCAGCCAACCTGACCCAACTTTTCTTGAGAGACTCACTATCAGAAAAAATATCTGGCGCAGTTTTTGATCACATTGAGCCCAAGAAAATTCATTTACAAGGCTAACTTGAATTTGAAAAGAGTTCAAATATCACTTCAATACTTACGAAATGAACAGGTAATTGCACAGCTTTCAACTCTTCTGGGATACTTTCACGAATTTTGTAAAATTCTGTTTTTACCTTTTAAGGGCTAAATGCAGGCACGAGTCTGAGTTTAGAGATCGGGAGCCATAGAGAGATCTTCTGCGTTGTCTAGCTAACGTATTAATTTTTTCCAAAAAAGATGTTGCTTCTTTATTTTGTTCTCAAACTTTGCTTGCGTTTCTGTTGTCAGAAAATCCATACCAATGCAGCTTTATTGCATCTTCAGTTGATTTGAGAAATGCAGTTGAGGAATGTATGGTAAGAGGACTAACTCGAGAGCGTGCGTGAAGAACTGCACGAACAAAGACTTGAAATGACTCCGCCAATAGCAATGCGTATCATTTATTAGTAAGGTGTTTTCGTTATCATATCGGTACATCCTCCACTAAAACCATTATCTTTGCCAATACATGAGCGAATAGAAACTGTCAGTGCTATCGTACCACATTTTCATCACTATAATGATGTTAAGCGCTTGGAATTGTTGATATTAGATGCTTTGTGCTTACTAAGATACCAGGCGATGTCACATGTTTGGCGCTGACTAGGACTTCTAATCTTGTGCATGTCGATTCTGCAATGTCATATGTAGAAAAACAAAGATGGCATTGAAAGTTTGAAGCTGACTCGATGAGAGGTTTTGCTCCATTCCGTTTTTGATGTTATCCCCGAAACACATTGTCGCTTTTGAAGTAAACTCGTCTTTTTTGAGAATAACGTAATCATACAGGGTGTCCCAAAAGAAAAATGCGAACAGCTGTTTGATCGTTAATAACTTTCTTGCTTTCATGTCTTTCGCCGAGCTTAGGTATCATCCTGTAGAGCTAGGTTCAACTTACATAAATTTGCAGTATGGACCGGATTATCAGTCACCCTTTATTACTGTAGGATTACGGTATGAAATTAGCATAAAGCGCTACTATCAAACAGGCCATTTGAAAAAAAAATTCCAAAAAAACCTGGCTCGTGTAGTAAGGTTTTTAGGCGTGCTCATTACACTAAAAACTTTCCACCAGTATCCTGAGCTATTTTAGTGGTATAATCACACTTCTGACGAACACTGGAAAAACAGATGTTTCCCTAAACCTGAAATAACTCATGAAAGCTCATATTTAGGATTAGCGGCTTCGTATGGTTCAATACAAGATTTCTGACTTTTCGGTTTTCTTTCTTAGGCAAAATCGCCTTCACTTTCTCTAAATCCTTCTCAAAGTTCATACCTAATCCTACAGTAATAAAGAGCGATTGATGATTTTGCCCATATTGTGTATCTGAGTTGAACCTCGTTGTACAAAATGATACCTCAAGCTCCCTCAAGCTCGACGAAAGACTTGAAAGCAACAGAGTTATTAACGATCAAACAGTGTTCATATTTTTGGACACCCTATATAGCCCCTTTTTGGTTCAAATTCTCTATACAGACTAAACAGATTTCTTGTCGTTCAGTTGAACTACCAGACATTTTCCAATGCCAAAATTCTGCGTAATCAGCTATTTGAGAAGATTTATGACTAAGATTTCTGTGGAGACAAGGATCTCCAGCATTCGGTTCGCCTCGTTTTCTAAAAAATTAACCAGTAAAGTATTACTTGATAAAGTAACTGATTTGTGAACTCGGCAGTGGTTATTTATGCTCGTGATAATCAAACTGTGGAGACTCAAGGACGATAATTTGAAGTTTGAATGAGGTGCGAACACGTTTTTCAAAAAGTATCCCCTCCGTCATCAATGTGCTTCTATTGCTTGAATCCTCTCTGTGTTAGGTGCAAGATACCGAGGCCAGAATTTCGACTAACAATAATTTTGCAAAATTGAAAAATCACCTACTTTACAAGACACAAGATAACGATATTTATTTTGCACATATCAGTTTTCACTGTATCCGTTATTGCCATATCCTGCTTCAATTACAGGATCAATGATAAAAAATGTAGTACACATGTACTAGGTAATTATCAAAGTGGTGGTACAGTCGAATCATTTCATAAGATCATGTGTGTCACTGCACACATTGTCCTCCTTCGGCCCCCCTGGAATTGCAATCGCAAAAACGCAAGAGACCGACCGATTGTTATCGCTTATCACTCTGTGGAGAGTGATATTCAAAAGGATGAAAAAGCATTGAGAAAACATCGAAAACAGCAGAAGGGCTCTCTGTTCCCAAGATCCAGGATAAGGACGCCGAAGGTGAACATCATATGCGGTGACACACATGATCATTTGAAATGATCCGACTGTATTTTAAGTGACGATTGACAGGCCAGACCATTCTTTGCTATGCGTTCAGAAGAATGTCGATAAACTTCACGCTCTGGACTCCTAATTCCAAGAATTTCAGAAGACACGAAAGGTACAGTAGACGTCATTAGTCTAGTCACCTCGGTGCGAGTGTTTGTACACATAAATTTGAAATCCCGGATGAGACGCTGGGATCCCGCCGTGCCGTACTTACACTAAATGCGCAGTACGGCTAGAATTCGACGCCAAACTGCTTGTTTTTTTATATTTCAATGTTTTTTTCTTCTTAGCTTCACACACGGTCTCAATTTCGATAATGTGCCACCTTTACACGTCATGCGATCGCTTTTACTTTCAAGTAAGGAGGCAGAACAATATTGCATAAATTTGAAGTAAGTCTGCTATCTTCAGTCCTGCTGTATGTAGAAAGAGTAGAGTATACGACAGCAGTGAAGATAACAGGCTTACTTCAAAATCCTCACAAATTATCGAAACTGAGACCGTGTGTGAAGCTAAGAAGAAATAAACGTTAAAATATAAAAAACAAACAGTTTGGCGTCAAATTTTAGCCGTACTGCGCAATTAGTGTGAGTACGGCATGGCGGGATCCCATGCCGTACTCACACTAATTGCGTGGCTAGAGGAATGACGTCTACTATACTTCCGTTTCTGATGAAATCGTCTTAACTGTTGAGTAAGACAAGGTGTTTGCTTGGTCTGGTAACACTTCGAACATTACAAAACTGCAACACATCCAATAGAAGGAGTGAGAATTCCTCTATACCACGCTAAAAATCTAGAACTTAACTTTCATACTGGGTGCTTGAAAAAAAGACTCATAAATTACGAAAATTATGTAATATTCGCAAAATGAAATCTATACATGGCAGCGTACCCTTTTACCTGCTAGCTGATCTTAATTGTGAGTTACAATCGTGTCACTTGCTATCTCTGACATATTGGGCAGCTGGCAAAATCGAAGATTTCAAGAAGAATTTTTTTCCAAAAATTGGTAAGCTAAGAAGAAAGGCCGCATGCAGGGATGTAGGGTGCAGCTGTCTACAGCCATAACGCGGACGATTTCTTTGTTTTTGTTGTTTACAAAAGCAGAAAGAATTCCGATCTCTTCAACCCATTCCATGGAAGTTGGTCTAAACCTAACTAAGGGTTTAGAGTCAGTTTGAGCTGTTCTTCTGCGCCGTATACTCGCAGAAACAAATATTGAGGTCCTTGTCGAGTGGAGAGTGAAGACGTTAGCCACCTGAGTGCCTGGTGATGTTAATGGGTTTATCACCTTACTTTGCTAATGAATTTTGGTAATTAATTACTTCGATTTCACCTTTGCACTCTACAAGAGTGCATCTAGATTACTCGAAGTTGCATATTTTTAGCCAAACCGTTATTACATATAATTTTGAAAAATCTGGCGAATAAGCCGGCAGTAATCTGGCGTAGCGGTCCTAGAAATCATACCTTAACCAAGATCTCCGATAAATCTTTCAAAGTGGTTTCTCAAGCATTCATAGAAAAACTTTTTCCAACAGAGATTTCAAAAGTGGGAAAATTTCTCGAAAGTTGTGATTGCATAAGAAAAACTGCTGAGGACTCACTACAGTCATTTTCTCAACTGTTCTCTCCAGTCAAAATACTCCGTAACTATCGAAAACTTACGAGGACTTTCTTCTGTAAAATCAGATAAAAGTACAATCAAAATTCAAGTAGCTCAAAGTCTATCAGATTTATGATTCGCTTATGAATAGAAGGAAAAAAATTTGGCTTCAAGATACTTTTACCAAAAGCCATGTTTTGCTTGTAACTTCAGAAAGATGAATAGAAAAAAATTTTCTACTATTGTACTTGCCGACCATTACGAAAACACTGCTAACTACCAGCGCTTTGAT